TGAAATACTTTTGTAGTGATTCGAATTTAAAAAAAAAATAACATCAAAATCTTTATAAAAGAACCCAAAAACCTTTATCAAACTGAAGATTAATGGGAAAAAGCTTATGTTTTGGAATTTGGTTGGTAATAACTGGATTTAGCTTTTTGTGGAACTTGTCACTGAAAAGAAATCTTTGTGTCTTTTTCTTTACTTCCTGAGCTTTTGGGTTTCCAAGCTGTTCATGGTACAGTATTTTCCTGTCAGATTTCAGAACTCAGATACAGAGTGAATGGACAGTTTAGGAAAAATGCAGTTGAATTCTGGAGTTTGTTACATCCAAGCTTTCTTTCACAGTCCAGCTGGAAGGAGGAGAAGGTTGTAGTGGCTGATGATGACTGACAGTGAGCGAGACAGCTCTGTTCCAGCTGTTTGTGTGAATGGATTTTCTCCTGACTATAATGTCCATTGCAATTGGCTCTGCTGGGGATAGTCCCAATAGCAAAGTGAAAAATACAGTAATAGGAATGACTTTTCTCAGGCCTTTTGATGACTTGAGCGAGACACATTAGAGGTGTGATGGCAAAACATGGGAAATTTAAAATTCTTCTGTGTTCATTTTACTGTTCCCTGCATGAATGGAGAAGTTCAGTCTTAAGTCAAGAAGGCAATGAGTAGATTTCTTTCTCCCTTCCCAAAACAAAGAAATTTAAATGCCTCCAGTGCTCATTTTCAGCCCTTCCCATGGTTTTACAAATAAGACGTTGCAATTCCTACTTTTTTAAGAAATTCTCCTGTTTTGATATACATGTAGTAATTTGCTGCCTGAAGGTGGACACAGGGTTGTGAAAGAATCCCCTGGCTTTCCTCCTTCAGGCTTGAATCCCAAGCAATGCTTGTGCATAACGACATCACAGAGCACTTGGAAGTGTATGCTGGCACAACTGTAATAATGAAAGTCAGAAGGATGTAGGCATGTACCAGAATTACTGACCACAGAGATTCAAAAATCATGAGTGAAAACAAGACAAAAACAATCTTGAAAACAAGACAAAAACTTTCATATAAATCTGGCATAGAAATGATGGGATTATCAGGACATACAGATTTTTAACTTAAGAAATCACTACTTCAATTTTTTCTTTACAGTTGTGAGAGAAAAAGAGGGGTTTGGTGTTGCTGAAAGATGAAATTAGGTTGTAATTTGCATGCCTTGCCATGCTTGAGCAGTTAAACCCATAGAGAGGGTACAAAGTGTTCTTTGTTTCTTGGTCACAGTAAAGTCATAAGTATTGATGATGATTTTTAAATTAAGTGGGCACCATTTGGTTGCTGAACTATAACCTTAAAATCACAACCAGGTAAAATATTCAGAGTAGGAAAACCTGAAAACACTGAGTTAACAAGATAAAAACGTTTGAACAGGTCCTTGAAGTGTGCTACTAAATATGGGTGCAGATGGCTTTAATGAATTTTTCATCTAGGGGACCTTACTAATTAAGATCCATGTCTCCAATGAAACTTGAAAAACTACTGTTGTGCTTTTTAAAATTTAACCCTATGTCACCTTTGTTAAATGATCGATGTGTAGATTGGCTTCTGTGTTTTCGGGCATGGGTAAAGGAGAATAAATAAAGACTTCATTATGTTTTCCCTGTATTTTTCAAGTTTTCAAAACCTCAAGAGAGGTTTTGGCATTCTTTATGTGAAAATGGTGTTTATTTCAGGAACTCACTGAGTTGCATTTGAGTGTTCTGTTTTCAGCCATATCAAGATTTCTATAATTTTTACCATGTAGGGCTGAAATTTTCGTATGTAAATGTTTGGGCAAAATGTAGAAAAAAATCAGCAGCATTGCATTGCACTTTCATCTTCATAGGAAAACTGTTTTCTGTCTAAAGTGACCAAGTTCCAAACACAAAGAGGGGCATGAAAGAAATGTGTTATAAAAATTTATGTAAGCATTTATTGGTATTTAACTGAGTTGCTAGCCTTAGAATATGTATTGTGGCTTTAGTGCCCTTATGTGAAGCTCATCCAAAGCCTATGGGTCATATCACTTACGTGGTACTTTGTAGGGACTTGCATGATACATAGGGTTTCTTCTTGGCTCCTGGATGGGATGAATATGTCTCTCTCCCTGCATCCATATATTTCACAGCCGTTACTTGCTAAGTTCGTTAAGTGGAGACTAAAACCCATAACATTTAGTGCAGACTGGAGAAAAGCGATGTCAGAATCTCTTTGTTATGCAGGGCTCTGTGGTCATGAGTTAAATCAAATGTGCTCTTGTTTTTCTTGCTACTCTTGTTGCTGTTGTGTTTATCATTATTTGTGTCACTGTCATATTTAGGAGTTCCAAATGTGGGCTGTTACTGCATTGTTCTATGTGCAGCAGAAAAAAAGGTTTGAAAGCTTGTGTAAATGATGTGGGAAAGACAACGCTGACACCAGGAGAGAGAACAGCACAGGCAAAATCTGGAATAGACTTGCTTGGAGTGATTGCTGTAGTCTGGCAGTCAAAGAGTTTTTAGGTTGTCGTAATGATCAGGGCATAGATGGGACTTTGCAGAAGGTATTTTGCAGATATTTATAGTTAATGTTGTGCAAGTGAGAGAACAGGGAATTTCCTGAGAGTGTCTTTGTGCTCCCTCTCCATCCCTGCCCCGTCATGGAGACTGCGGTCCAGAAGGGAAGAAAACTGAAGCAATTATTTCCGTTGTGGAAAGCAGGTTGCTTACGGATTTGTGAGCTAATTCTCTAATGGCCCTCTGTGACCCACTGTGAGATGCGGGTTTAGGAACTGGTTAAAATAATACCCTTGGGGATCCAACAGCATAGCTAGCTAACCTGAGGCTTCACAGCAGCTGCAGGGGTCATTGCAACCTTGAGGCTGCAGTGGCTGCTCTGTTGCAGAGCTACCCTGTCCAAGGAGCAAAATTCCACCTATGTTAAGCTGTTCTTCCACCACAGAGTGAGTGGTGACAACAAGTTTTAGCCCTAAAACGTGACCTTATGGCTTCCCGGTTGATTAGTTGTATATTGCATGTGAAAACTAGATTATTCATCTGCACTTGTTTTCTTTGAAGGAGAAAATGAACATAGTCCACTAGAATATGAAAACTAAGACAACAAATGGCACATCAGGAAATTATGCTTAATAGCTGACTTCACACAAAAGGAGGGTTTTACTATATTTAAGGTGAAGATCTCCTGCCTTGTGGATGAAGGGAAGGTGGTGGATGTAGCTTTTCGGGATTTTAATAAAGCTTCTGATGCTGTCCCTCACAGCATCCTTTTGGACAACTTTTCTAACTGTGGAACAGTGTGTTCACAGTGTGCTGGGTGAAGAACTGGCTGAAGGGCAGAGCTCAGAGGGTTGCAGTGAATGGGGCTACATCTGGCTGGCGACCTGTCAGCAGCGGTGTTCCTCAGGAATTAATTCTGGGTCCAGTTCTCTTCAACGTATTTATCAGTGATCTGGATTCAGGATTCGAACACGCCATTAACAAGTTTGCTGATGATACCAAACTGCGAGATGCTGTTGGCTCTCTTGAGGGACAGGAGGCCTTGCTGAGAGATCCAGATAGATTGGAGCATTGTGTTATCGTTAATGGGATGAAATCTAACAAGTCAAAATGCTGATTCTGCACTTCGGATGGAGTAATGCCAGGCACAAGTATAATTTGGGAGAGTAGTGGCTGTGGAGCAGCCCTGCAGAAAGGGATGTGGGGGTGCAGGTTGGCAGCAGGCTCAATAGGAGTCAGCAGCGTGCCCTGGCAGCCAAGAGGGCAAAACCCTTCCTGGGGTGCACCAAACACAGCACAGGCAGCCGGTCAAAAGCGGTGATTGTCCTGCGCTGTTTAGCGTTGGTGTGGCCTCACCTTGAGTACTGCATGCAGTTACGGGCCCCACCATGTAGGAAGGATGAATGTAAGAAGGTATGTGAATGTGTCCAGAGGAGAGCAACAAAGCTCACAAAGAATTTATATAGTCCTTGGTTTCTGAAGGTTTCAGCAAAGGTTTTGCTAGTGAAAGGGCTGGAAGGCATGTCCTCCAAGGAGCAGCTAAGAACTTTGGGTTTGTCCAGTTTGGAGAGGAGGAGGCTAAGGGGCAACCTCATTGCTCTCTACAGCTTCCTGAGGAGGGGAAGGGGAGAGAGAGGTACTGATCTCCCTGAGATCCAGTGACAGGAGGCATGGGAATGGTTCAAAGCTGTGCCAGGGAAGGACTGGACATTAGGAAGGATTTGTTTACAGAGAGGGTGTTCAAACACTGGAACAGGCTTCCTAGAGAGGTGGTCGATGCCCCAATCCTGTCAGTGTTTGAGAAGCATTTGGACAGTGCCCTCAGCAACATGCTTTGGCTTTTGATCACCCCTGAAGGGGTCGGGCAGTTGGACTAGATGATCGTTCTAGGTCCCTTCCAACTGAAATAGTCTATTTTATTCTGTCTTTTGATGACAAGAAATACAATGGCATACTTTTCTATTTGTCTTGATCATGTTGAAGGGGAGGGAAGATCTTAGGTTGTCTAAGTCAGCATTTACATGATAGTTCATGATTCAATTTCTGATCACAGACTTACATTTAGGCCAAAGAGATGGAGATGTGTTCTGCTGTCTGCTTGCCTACGCATCCTTTTCTGTCTTTCATATTTACCGCAGACTGCAGCAACTGGTGTATTATGCCACTGCAGAAGATTAGCAGGACTTGTACCCCTGATTAAGAGATTCTATTAAAAAACAAGAGGTTTCTGCTATTTTAATAATAACAGAATGCTGAATTATAAACCATCTTGATTATCTCTACTACTGGTGTTATTGTTTTACCTTCTGTTTTTTTACTGCAGATGTCATTGTATTTGAGTTTTACTTAATTTCCTTATAGGTGCTTTTAAAAAGGAAATAACTATAGAATACAAGAATGGTTGTAATACTAGTTAATGAGATTTCTTTGTGAAAACACAGAAGTTTAATAAAAGTTTTCATGATAAAGAAATAATTTTCTTTTTCTTTTCAGGTACCATGATCAACAGGATGTTACTAGTAACTTCCTTGGAGCAATGTGGTTGATTTCAATAACTTTTCTATCCATTGGATACGGTGACATGGTACCTAATACATACTGTGGGAAAGGAGTCTGTTTACTCACTGGAATTATGGTGAGTGTTTCTGAATTTATTCATTGGATATGAGATTAAGTTGGCTGCAATTAATCCCAAAACTTGTCATAGTCATAAAGAAATATGTATTGGCTGGCTTGTAGAGCGTATATACTTAGTCACACCATTCCCATGGTCTTTCGTTCTTGGTAATGGAATGGAGAGTTTTCGTCTTTAGGTAAAATTTAGCAGCCGTGTAATGAAATACAGAGAAACAAATTCCACCCTGGCATAATTAGCAGCTTGAAAATCTCAATAGAGTCTTTGATTAAAAGTTAAGGTATCGTACCATCTTGATTACCTTTGGACATGTGTAGTTGGACCAGTACTAATAATGAATTTACAGTTCTGACTTTTGTTTCTTAAAATTAAGTTACTCACAAACAAAGAAACATGATGGTGGCTAATCTCCTAAAGCATTTTGCTTGAGCATAGTTTTCTACATTATTTCTTATAAGTCTAATAACATACTATCCATAGCATTCCATAGCTTTAGGTGGATTTATGTAGTGCAATTTTCACTGTAAGAGTTTTTGTTACTATTGAGACAATGAAGCAATTGTTAGTCCATGCATATTCAGCATGTATTTATTAACTGTACTTAATGTCTGGTTTTAATTTTTCTGTATTGCACCATTTGGTCAAAGTTAGGCAGGGAGTAAGGTGATGTACTGTAGTATCTGGGAAATTTATGCATATCTACAGTAAATTAGAAGTAAAAAAGCTCCAGACTCTGCCACTTTTATTTATATCAACTCCTATGTATATGTCCCTGTGAGTGAGAACAGCAGAATGAGCATCATATATACTGTATATATATAACAGTAAGATACATACTTGTTTCTGAATTTTTGCCATTGATCATAAGTAATGCAGCTCCGGTGTCTACCTTCTGTTAAAACTGGTATATTGGGATTATGGCTGAAAACAAGTTGCCCCTTTTAAACAGGGTTTTTGGTAAAATTTTCATTTATAAGAGTGTCTTTTGTCTCCAAAGAGTAAAATAGATCAATGCTTTTTTGCAATGTTTAAGATTTTTTTCCAAATGCTTTTTTAAAAAAAACAAAACCCCAACCATCTGACAGGTTTCAGGTCATTGGTGTTTACTGAGAAAGACTTCATTACATTTTCACAGTGATGACAAATGTGTATCTCCTTAAATACAGGGTTTGCAATGTAGTTGGAAGGTACAGGCTGAAAGCAGAGGAATGACTCAGAAGGCTTTTTTAAAGGCGGTTGGCTAAGCTCAAATCTGCCATCTTCTGGGGTATTTGGCTTTGCTCCTCTTTCTGAGCTGGATTTTGATGCCAGAGAGAATAAAATGTGGTCATAAGTTCATTAGGAAAAAATGAGAACAAGTAGTAAATATTGCCACAGGGATGTGCAGAATGGGGACAGAACCCTGTTATAAAGCATTTCTTTGTCCCAGGCACTGTTTAGAAATACGGAGCAAATACTTGAAGATGCAGGTATTAGCTCATTTTGCTTACTCAAATTGTTCAGCACTTTTCGGAGTCTCGTTATGAAAAAAACGTACAGAATTCTAGGACCTTCAGAGCCCTGCAGAAGTGCAATGAGAACAGTAGATACTTATCTTCTATGGGTTTCACACTGTTATTGCATTTATGCTAGTGCAAATGACAGCGGCATCTGGACTGTTATTTTGAATAGCCGTGGGTAGGCTTGTGATTTTATTATGATGAAAACACAGTAAAAATAAAATCAGAAAAACAGACTCTAGATTATTGCAAATGTTATTCTATACGCCTGCGAACAAACCACACAGAAGCTGAAATTATAAGATATATTTGTCATTTTGCTTATGACAGCACCATTTGAATTCAGATGTAAAATTATTTATAGCGCTTGCTTCTATTGCTTTGGTGAAAAACTAAAGTACTGATTAATACATACCACTTGCACACATGGTGTTTTTCACAACTAAAACAAGATTCCATTGAAAATTAGACTTGTAAAATGTATGGATGATACTCACCTTCACATCTTTGATTGTTCTTTGTGATTAAAAATTCTGCAGCTGCTTTGGAAGAATAAAGACTCCAATCAGAATCTCATGGTAGTGAGTTTGGGATGAATACCTCCAGAGACAGAAAGTGTTCTTAACCAAAAAACAAGCCAGGTAGCTAGTGTGTAATGATAGGTAGAACAATACTGAAAGCCTGACCCTTAATTACATTTTTAAGGATATCCACAATATGGCTTTGGCAAACATCATCTTTGAGAAAAAAATTATGGAGCAATGGGAGAAAGTCAGATGCTGAAATTACTCTTCTATTTCTTTTTTTTTTTTTTTTTTAATAAAGGATCTGAAAGATACAAAGTATGAAACTGTGTGCATAATAATGAACCATCTTCCAGCCTAACTGCAATACCAAAAAAACTTATAGGTCTTCAATATGATTCCTTAAAACCAACTACTCATCTGAAATTTATACGGTAACTAATTCATGTTTGTTGTGGAAAAGATAAGATCCCAAAAAGAACAGACTTACTCATTTTTATTTCAATAGGAGTTGTTGATGGTCTAATTAAAAAATACACCAGGATAATTATTGAATGAGTCTACCAAATGTATGTGATTTTAAGAGGGAAAATATGATTTCCTGGTGTCTGAAGTATCAAACGCATTGTTGGGTTAGTGTGATCAATACCAAATACCACTGAGTTGTTGCTTTTGGATAAGATCCCTGTTAAAAAGGAAGGGAGAATAAACAGAAATATTTGTGCATACAAGAGTAGTTACGCAGACCACTGGAGACTTAATATTGGCTCTGCAAAAGTGGGGGGCTATGGAGGGCTCCCTCAGTGTCTTGACCCCAGTGAAAGGAAAGCCCAGGTGCCCTGGCTGTCCTCTCACTTCTGCCTCAGGAATTGCTTTCTGTGTGATGGATATCGGTCTGCTCAGGCTGAACCCCGCATTGGGCTCCAGACTGGGAGGTAGACTTTATGCAGTCTGCTGATGGTACCGAGTTGTGCTGGCTATTGAAACTGCAGCTATTGCTGTCTTGAGGCACTGGTTCAAGTGGCATCTTTTAAATTCTGGAAATGCACACTGCAGGAAAATAGGACAATCTTTACACATATTCAGATTATACCAAAAGGAGAAAAGTTTTGAGAATCGTTAAGAGTAAGCCAGCAAACAAGTCTGATTAATGTATTAGAAAAATGAAAAAAAAAACAACCCAACCTGTGAACAAGGAAGGTAAATACTGAAAAAATATGTACTGTTGTATTAAAAATATACTTTTTGATCTTGCAAAGTACTTAGATATGTGAAGGTTTAATAAAAACACTGACACAGCATGATACAGAGTTGGTAGTATAGGTTAATGCAGAGAAACTTTACAGACAGGCAAGTGAAACTGAACTGGGTACCTCAACGTGTTTACCTGTCAGTATTTTTCCAATGAGATTTCATTAGGCAGCACTAGTAGACTATGGGCCAGGTGGACTATAAATTGGATAGCAAGTGTGTCCTATGCCTTCTGTATATATTAGGTAGGTCTGCAAAAGTGCGATGTATGGATGGAAATTTGAGTGCTGTCACTGTTACCAGAACAGGATATAGAGGGGATGGGGAGACCCATGGCATCTTCACCATGCCGTGCATCTCGTCAGAGTTTTGTCTGCCCACTGAAGATGCCATCCATGCTTGTCAGTGAACACCCAAGCAGATGTCTCATCCTGGTCAGCAAACTGAGCTCAGCTACAGGTGGAGCACTTTGTGCTTGTGCTAATTGTAACTGCTTATAGAGGCAGCAGTTCTACCTCCTTAATGGCTTTTTGGAGTTAGTGCGTTGGAGTGGTTTGCAAATTTTCTTTGCTGTATGAGGAGTACAATGAGGTTAAAAATTTAAAGAAGGGATGTAGAAATTGGTAGAAGTAAAAGGAGGGGGCAATTGTGAGAAGATATGGGAAGATGGATAGTTATTGACTGTGAGATGGATAATTTTTACAGATCTTTGTAAGCTTTTGTACCTATGCAAGATAAAATAATGGCAATCCATTCTTCTGACTCCAAATACAAGGATCTCTTGCAAGGTTTGAGGACTCTTTTCCTTTTATATCCAGCATTATGTAGTGAGCTAGCACATTTATTGTATGATGCAAAGCTAAGGATGGAGAATCTTCCTGTAGAGCCAACTGCTAGCGGCTAGAAGCAGACATGCAGAACTAGTAGGTCAAACTTATGTTGCTACAATAAAATGGATGAATTGCAATCCTGTCACAGGATGCACAGGGTGGCTGGCTATAGCTTGGATGAAGATTGCCTTAAATGAAGTATCTGTTATTTCAGAGTGTCTGCCTCCCTAATGCTGAAAGTGCAGCTTAAATGCTTCTGTTATTGAAATGAACTCCAAACACATCTTTAAGCCTATGAAAGAACCAAATAAATTATGAAAGTTTTCTTAAATGTACATCGTAGAGGTGGACAAGATTAGATGTTTCTTTTGGAAAATTTTTAAATGGCAGCTTTTAATTACAGGATTTGAACACCACTCATATAGGTGAAGAATTCTTAGGTAGAGTAGTCGCAGTGTAGTCAATGTGTACAGTCTGTCCTTAGGGATACTAGTTTTTACTGGTTCTAAATCATGAATCAAAAATGAATCTGATCCGATTTTAAAGCTTCTCATGCTGCAGCTTTTAAGGTCCTTGTGGAAGTCTGCATTGAGTTCAAAAGAATCACAATTCCTTTCCTATGCATCATGAAAAAAGAAACACGGATGAGATGCTTCTGAGAACAGGAGACTCTTCGTCTAAGGTTAAATTGTGGTATTTGTGCATACAGTTTTATCTCAGACTCAGCCTGGTCTTACCAACAGATACAGAGAACTATCTACAAGAGGAACATGGCACCTAGAGTAGTATTGTTTTTAACCGTATGATTTTTGTTAGTAGCAAAATCTGAACTGTAACATCTTTGAAATTTAATAATTACTAGATTGTAAGAAAAAGAGAAAGAAGTAGATTCTAAC